CATTCAGACCAGCCATACTCATCAATCACATCTTACATTCAGACCAGCCATACTCATCAAGTCTCATCTTACATTCAGACCAGCCATACTCATCAATCACATCTTACATTCAGACCAGCCATACTCATCAATCACATCTTACATTCAGACCAGCCATACTCATCAACCACATCTTACATTCAGACCAGCCATACTCATCAATCACATCTTACATTCAGACCAGCCATACTCATCAATCAATCTCATCTTACATTCAGACCAGCCATACTCATCAATCACATCTTACATTCAGACCAGCCATACTCATCAATCATCATCTTACATTCAGACCATTTCAGACCATACTCATCAACCACATCTTACATTCAGACCAGCCATACTCATCAATCACATCTTACATTCAGACCAGCCATACTCATCAATCACATCTTACATTCAGACCAGCCATACTCATCAATCTCATCTTACATTCAGACCAGCCATACTCATCAATCACATCTTACATTCAGACCAGCCATACTCATCAATCACATCTTACATTCAGACCAGCCATTCTCATACTCATCAATCATCATCATCTTACATTCAGACCAGCCATACTCATCAATCACATCTTACATTCAGACCAGCCATACTCATCAATCACATCTTACATTCAGACCAGCCATACTCATCAACCACATCTTACATTCAAACCAGCCATACTCATCAATCACATCTTACATTCAGACCATTCATAGACATCAGTGGCACCTTACATACTCACCAATTACACCTTGCATTCACACCGGCTGTAGTCTGGTGTCAGATCTCACATTGAGGTCAGCTACAGTCAACAGACAGACAGGTAAATGTAAATCTTACATGTCAACTAATTAATATTGTAATCGTGCACTGACTTATCAGTAGTGAACATTGAAATAACCGCCCACCTTCGTGAAGCAGATCAATGATCCTGAAACGTTTGAGTGCCTTGCTTGTGGGCAACATCTGGTGGCCGGGCTACAATAGGGCTTTAGTAACGGCAGCGTATGTGCCACATGATCATGGGGATTAACATAGCTTGGTCTCGTGTAAGGAAAATCTTTACATCAAACAGACAACATTTGTTAAACAGAAGGTATTTTTAACCTCCCTGGTGAAGGACTAGAAAGAGGTATCCAATATATTTATGTTACAGAATTAACATTTTATGTATGATTTTCTTGTGGGAGATTCTTGTTATGTTTTGCATGATAATGTGTGAGTTTAGGATTACCAGTGGATGTTATGTAGCATGAGACTGTAATTGACATGGTGTTGACATGCTGTTGACATGTCAGCATATCTTCCCTGCATGCCAGTGAATCAATTCACTATCTGCAAGACCAGACCAGCCATGGAGAGTTTCTGATCAATAGCCTGTGTCGAATGGTGCTTCTCCCTTATAATGACAAGCATTGTGGTGAACAACCCAGCTGGAAACTGGCTGCAACTTTACATCTTGTGGCCTATTTTGTCACTTGTTCTGAAAAGGCTTGTGAAATACAAGTAACAAGATACTAGTATTAAGATAGTCTGTTGATGTGTGTCATTGTACATCTAACAGGTAGTATGCTTTGAAATATGATATTTCTTTTCACTGACATAAAACTAAAAATGTGCCACCATTTGGAACTGAAATATAATACCATTTTGAAATCAAAAGATGCTATAATGGAATAACTTTCAAATACAGACAAAGTTTATTCAAGTTTAATTTGAAGTATTAAACTTTGGTATTGTCGATGTTTGAGGAGACGTTGTTCCACCATTAGTTCTTCAACATAGAAGAATTCGCCACTGTTTTCTGAGTAAGCGAGTGAGTTTCACGTTACGCTGGTTTCAGCAATATTCCAGCAATATCATGCCGGGGAAACCAGAAATGGGCTTCACACATTGTACCCATGTGGGGAATTGTACCCGGGTCTTTGGTGTGACAAGTGAACACTTTAATCACTAGGCTACGCCACCGCCCTTTCTGATCAACGACTACTGTGTTGTACTTTTCATCCTATGCAGCAACACATTCAACTGGTCACCAAACTGAACATGGTACCAAATAGTCATCTAGTACACTGCGACTTCTTCAAACCTGGAATCACCACAAGGAAAGCTTATTACAAACTAGGGCTGAAACGGTATACTGCAGTATTAGTAGAACCACTGTATTTTGCCTTCGGTTCGGTAAACCGTAATGCAATCCCAAAATTTCGATATTTTCGGTTATCATAACGTTACTTCTGTCTAGGGGGCGGTGGGATAACCTAGTGGTCTCTCCACATGGGTACAATGTGTGAAGCCCATTTCTGGTGTCCCCGCCTTGATATTGCTGTAATATTGCTAAAAGCGGCGTAAACCAAACTCACTCACTCCTGTCAAGTCATAAAATGGAAGTTTTGTTCATTCAAAATAACAAAGATGTTATTATTGCTACTATTATGCTATTATTTTTCCCATGTTGTTAAACATTGTCAGGTTTGGCTCTTGTCAATTTTCTACATTGTGATCATATCTAATATACCGAACCGTGGTAAAAGCTTATCGTTTCACCCTTATTACAAACTGAGCACTGATAAACACCATGCCTTGTAAATGGTCAGGTTTATAATGGTGATGGAGCATCAGGCAGCAGGATGGCAGACATGCAGGTGTACACAAGACATGGATGGAACTCATCCAGATTTACTCAGAGTGGATCGTCATGCACTGCATGCATTATTCCACTATACATATTACTAACATAGAGTCAGTTTCATGCATATTGAATAGGGATGTTTTGTGTTATTGACTAATGTATTTATCAAGGGGACATTAGTATTTTAGCTTTGTGTTGAAGTGTTAACATCTGTCACTTGTCTGATACAGTCACTCCTACAATTATGGTGATGTGTAGTATCTTCACATCAGGTTCACACATCACAGGCTTTCATCATTTGTGTTGATTGATACAGAGCATTTCTTTGATGTAATCATATATATACATGGTACGAGGTGTATGTAAGTTATACATTAGACCTGATATACCATAAGTCTGTATACTGGGTTTATATCTGTTTTATGTACCATTTCTGGTATATGTGGTACAAGGACTATATTTGCTTTATGTACCACTCCAAGTACATGTGATACAAGGACTATACTAGTTTTGTGTAATTTTTCTGGTATTAGTTTTATGTACTACTTCTGATATATGCAATACAGTGACTATACTAGTGTTATGTATCACTCCTGATATATGTAATAAAAGTACTATATAAGTTTATGTACAACTCCTGGTATATGTGATACAAGGTCCATATAGGTTTATGTACCACTCCTGGTATATGTGATACAAGAACTATATAAGTTTATGTACCACTCCTGGTATATGTGATACAAGGTCTATATAAGTTTATGTACCACTCCTGGTATATGTGATACAAGGTCTATAATAGGTTTATGTACCACTCCTGGTATATGTGATACAAGGTCTATATATGTTTATGTACCACTCCTGGTATATGTGATACAAGGTCTATATAAGTTTATGTACCACTCCTGGTATATGTGATACAAGGTCTATATAGTGATATATGTAATACCACTCCTGGTATATATGTGATACAAGGTCTATATATATGTTTATGTACCACTCTGGTATATGTGATGCAAGGTCTATATAGGTTTATGTACCACTCCTGGTATATGTGATACAAGGTCTATATATATGTTTATGTACCACTCTTGGTATATGTGATACAAGGTTTATGTACCACTCCTGGTATATGTGATACAAGGTCTGATATAGGTTTATGTACCACTCCTGGTATATGTGATACAAGGTCTATATAGGTTTATGTACCACTCCTGGTATAAGTGATGCAAGATCTATATATGTTTATGTACCACTCTCCTGGTATATGTGATGCAAGGTCTATATAGGTTTATGTACCACTCCTGGTATATGTGATACAAGGTCTATATATGTTTATGTACCACTCCTGGTATATGTGATACAAGGTCTATATATATTTATGTACCACTCCTGGTATATGTGATACAAGGTCTATATAGGTTTATGTACCACTCCTGGTATATGTGATACAAGGTCTATATAAGTTTATGTACAAGGTCTATATGGGTTTATGTCCTGGTATATCTGATACAAGGTCTATATTAGGTTTATGTACCACTCCTGGTATATGTGATACAAGGTCTATATTAGGTTTATGTACCACTCCTGGTATATGTGATACAAGGTCTATATAGGTTTATGTACCACTCCTGGTATATGTGATACAAGGTCTATATATGTTTATGTACCACTCCTGGTATATGTGATACAAGGATCTATATAGGTTTATGTACCACTCCTGGTATATGTGATACAAGGTCTATATAGGTTTATGTACCACTCCTGGTATATGTGATACAAGGTCTATATATAGGTTTATGTACCGCTCCTGGTATATGTGATACAAGGTCTATATAGGTTTATGTACCACTCCTGGTATATGTGATACAAGGTCTATATAGGTTTATGTACCACTCTTGGTATATGTAATACAAGGTCTATATAGGTTTATGGACCACTCCTGGTATATGTGATACAAGGTCTATATTAGGTTTATGTACCACTCCTGGTATATGTAATACAAGGTCTATATAGGTTTATGTACCACTCCTGGTATATGTGATACAAGGTCTATATTAGGTTTAGGTATCTAAGGTATCATCTGCTGTGTCTCCAATATTTAGCTAAAAATTTGTACTCAGTTTTAAGTATGGGACAAAGGTTTCTTTCTGTTGTGGAAAAAATGTTCCCACCAAGAAGGGCCAGCTGCCTTCCTGAATGTATGTACAGAATGATATTACAACCTAATACATGGTAATGATATGGTGAATTCCTGCAGGCAATGTATGGCAGACCACTCAGAGGGAAGACTGGTAAACTCATGGTTTATGTAGTCAACTATTAACAATATTGTTTTACGTTACAGATTTTCCTCCTCTGATGAAGATGATTGTATGGATGACATCCCTCTGATGGCTGGAAGTGGAAATATACAAGACTTCCACATTGACGAGAATGACTCGTTGATGAAGGAAAGAAAATACCGCAGTTATCGCACACGCTCATTGAGCTATTTCCTGTCTGAAGGCTGGATAAATATGTGTGCAAGGTAAGAAAAAATTAAATTGTTCTGATGAGACACACCAGAGGTGATCGCTATGTAGAGTGAGTTACAAATTCCTGCTGTATGTCTGAAGATGTAGCACAGGTTAGATCCCCTTAGAAACCACTACTTGGATTACCAACTGTCCTTATTGGACTAAGAAGAAACAGCTATTGCTCGATAACTCACCACACCTTGTACCCATTAGGTCACAAGAAACATGACTATTTATCCACATGACTGTCACCAAGGTAATGCAAAGGTTACAAGAGACATGACTATAAGTGCCTTCACCATGTGACATAGAGCAGGGTCCTGTTAGGTTTGTATGGTGTTGTGATGGTGTTATATAGTGTTTTAATGGTGTTATATGGTGTAGTGTTGATGTAGTGTTGGTGTTGTGATGGTGTAGTGTTGGTGTAGTGTTGGTGTTGTAATGGTGTTATATAGTGTTTTAATGGTGTTATATGGTGTAGTGTTGATGTAGTGTTGGTGTTGTATGGTGTTGTGATGGTGTAGTGTTGGTGTTGTAATGGTGTTATATAGTGTTTTAATGGTGTTATATGGTGTAGTGTTGATGTAGTGTTGGTGTTGTATGGTGTTGTGATGGTGTAGTGTTGGTGTTGTAATGGTGTTATATAGTGTTTAAATGGTGTTATATGGTGTAGTGTTGTTGTAGTGTTGGTGTTGTATGGTGTTGTGATGGAGTAGTGTTGGTGTTGTAATGGTGTTATATAGTGTTTTAATGGCGTCATATGGTGTAGTGTTGATGTAGTGTTGGTGTTGTATGGTGTTGTGATGGTGTAGTGTTGGTGTAGTGTTGGTGTTGTGATGGTGTAGTGTTGGTGTTGTGATGGTGTAGTGTTGGTGTTGTGATGGTGTAGTGTTGGTGTTGATGTGTAGTGATGGTGTAGTGTTGGTGTTGTGATAATGTAGTGATGGTGTAGTGTTGGTGTTGTGATGATGTAGTGTTGGTGTTGTGATGGTGTTGTGTTGGTGTAGTGTTGGTGTAATGTTGGTGTTGTGATGGTGTAGTGTTGGTGTTGTGATGGTGTTGTGTTGGTGTTGTGATGGTGTTGTGTTGGTGTAATGTTGGTGTTGTGATGGTGTAGTGTTGGTGTTGTGATGGTGTTGTGTTGGTGTAGTGTTGGTGTTGTGATGCTGTTGTGTTGGTGTTGTGCTGGTGTTGTGTTGGTGTTGTGATGGTGTTGTGATGGAGTAGTGTTGGTGTTGTAATGGTGTAGTGTTGGTGTTGTGATGGTGTAGTGTTGGTGTTGTGATGGTGTAGTGTTGGTGTTGTGATGGTGTAGTGTTGGTGTTGTATGGTGTTGAGATGATGTAGTGATGGTGTTGTGTTGTGATGGTGTAGTGTTGGTGTTGTGTTGGTGTACTGTTGGTGTTGTGATGGTGTAGTGTTGGTGTTGTATGGTGTAGTGTTGGTGTTGTATGGTGTAGTGTTGGTGTTGTGATGGTGTAGTGTTGGTGTAGTGTTGGTGTTGTATGGGTGTTGTATGGTGTAGTGATGGTGTTGTATGGTGTAGTGTTGGTGTTGTGATGGTGTTGTATGTCGTAGTGATGGTGTTGATGGTGTTGTGATGGTGTTGCAATGGTGTTGTGATGGTGTTGTGATGGTGTTTGTCTTCATTGTCTGCAGTATCTCATGACTGATTCCCTTTTGCAGCTGCTGGAGCAGAATATTCAGTAGATGTCGACGACGAAAGGAATACAAGCCACGGACGGTCTACATTGGTCTTGCCACAGGACCACAGGAAAAATACCCCAGAAATGTTGTCAAAAATCAAAAATACAGCATCATCACTTTTATACCAAAGGTATGCTTCTTTATTTTCCATGAAACAACTTTTACGCAAGACATCACAAAAATTTTGAAGGGCATTTAGAGGTGATACACATAAAGACAAGAGTTTTATGGATCATCATCATCATCATCAACTAGGAACTTATATAGCGCAAGAATCCAGTCAGTATAACTGCTCAAACGCGCTTTGAGAGAATGCATGTCACATGTATCAGCAAAGTCCACTCGGTCTAGGCGTATGTCTTTGAGAATAAGTGAGTCTTGAGATTGGTTTTAAAAGTGGCCAAGTTATTTATAAGTCTCAGTTCTAGTGGCAGATCATTCCAGATTCGTGGAGCTGCTCTGGCAAAAGATCGATCTCCATAGGTGGTGGTCCTTGCATGTGGAACACACAGCATGCTTTGTCCAATGGATCTAAGAGACCTGGCTGGCTTGTATTCCTGGAGGAGTTCCTGGAGATACACAGGGGCTAGGCCTGTCCTTGCTTTGAAGGTTAACAGGAGCACTTTATAAGTGATTCTGTCTGCCACCTTCAACCAATGAAGTTTCTTTAGCACTGGAGAAATGTGGCTGTCTTTCTTTGTCTTTGTTACAAGTCTAGCTGCACAATTCTGAACGCGTTGCAGCTTTGCAATCAATTTCTTTGGTAGTCCAATTAGAAGAGCATTGCAGTAATCTAAATGGGACACAACACAGCACTGAACAAGAGATGTCACGGTCTTTGGATGACAACTTCTTTATTGTGAAGGATCATGACGTTTCTAGAAATGTTCTTACTCCTTCATCAGGTGGAGGAGTAAGAACATACTTTGAAGCGTCGTGACTCTTCACAATAAAGAAGTTGGCATCCTTAAAACTCTTGTCTTTATCATAAAATTTGTGTATTTTTAAACTTATTCTATCTCACGTCTTGTACTCTCTCTCTCTCTAATGATCGACAGTTGAGTGGAAACGAACTGTAAACAAAAGTTTAGGCCTTTCTTGAACCCTTCACTCGAACACACCCCTACTGCTCCCGTTCCTGGACAGCCCGGTAGCCTCTGAGAAGCATGCAGCCTGTGCTCTGATAGGTCATGTGACACCTTTATGTAGTCATTCTTGTCTTGGAGCAGTAATCGTAAGCTGTCCAGCAGGGTCGGTCGGGCGGGAATCCATTGTATGAGATAGGATAAAGATCATGAATTTACAATTTATAGTTAAAACTTTCAAATTTTTATGCCCCCGCCATATATTGCTGGGGGCATATAGGATTACCCTCCGTGTCCGTCCGTACGAAACAGGAAATGTACTCTATCCACTTCTCCACAAAAAACGCTCTGTGGAATTCAATGAACGTATACATGGGCTTTCTTGGGACTCTAATGGTGTGCATCTCATATTTTGTTTTTGTATTTTATTGGGGTTTAGAGACATTTGAACTTAGGTACATTTTGCTGAATTTCTCTATGATGATAGTGTAATAGGGGATGAAGTCTATCCACTTCTCCACAAAAACTGCTCAACAGAATTGAATGAACTTCTACATGTCTTTCATAGGGACTCTAAAGGTGTGTATTTCATAATTTGTTATGCAATTTCTTAATTTTGTCACTTTTAGAGATGTTTGAACTTAGTTGAATTTTGTTCTATTCAGCCTGTTCGTTCCATCCAACAGGGGTGTGTACGTTATCCACTTCTCCTCAAAAACTACTTTATGGAATTCATTTAGATTACACATGTGCTTTATAGGGACTCTAAAGGCGTGCATCTTATTTATTTTTCCAATGTTAATGCCGTTTGAACTTACATAAATTTTGTTGAATTTCTCTCTGAATATAGTGTTATAGGGGATGAAGTCTATCCACTTCTCCACAAAAGCTGCTCTACAGAATTGATTGAGCTTCTATGTGTGTTTCATTGGGACTCTAAAGGTGTGCATCTCATACCTTGTTCATCCAGTTTCTTAATTTTGTCACTTCTACAGATGTTTGAACTTAGTTGAATTTGGTTCTATTCATCCTGTTCGTCCCGTCCGACAGGGGGTGTACTTTATCCACTTCTCCTCAAAAACCACTGCACAAAACTCATTTAGCTTACATATGTCTTTTATAGAGACTCTAAAGGTGTGCATCTGGTATTTTGTTTTTGTATTTTATAGTTTTTTGTATGTTTAGAGACATTTGAACTTAGATAAATTTTGTTGAATTTCTCTCTGATGATAGTGAAATAGGGGATTAGGTCTATCCACTTCTCCACAAAAACTGCTCAACAGAATTGATTAAGCTTATACATGTGTTTCATTGGAACTCGAAAGGTGTGCATCTCATAGTAGCATAGATGTTTATTGAACTTGTTCGTGAATTTTGTTCAATTATTGATCTTTATATGTCTTATGAATGTCAGCGGGGCAATCCATGTCCCTGGACACAATTTTTTCTTGTTAAACTTCATTTCATTTTCATTTCACAAGCCAGCGTGCATCTGTAATAGAAGTGCTCCAAAATAACTTGTGTGTTCGTACAAAGGTTTGGTTATGATTGATGACTTGGTTGATTGTGTGTCCATGTCTCCCCAAAACAAAGGACATTCCTCATAAAATCAACTTGGGCACCGAGTATTGTGATACACAACATCTGTAATACTGATGATCTGGAACAAAGTTGGTATTTACTTTGCTAAAACCAGGCGGTCAGTTATGATCTCTTTCCCGTCATGGGCTTGTTCATCATATGTCAACACAGATCTAGACTAGCCAACAAGTTTGTAAACTAGAAAGGGAGAGAACTGGAGAGGTTCTTGATGACACATGACAGTGAATAAACATGTTCTGTATTGGGATTTTAACAAATAGAATTCTTATCATGAAACATGTGACAAATCAGCTTCTCAGAACGACATCAGTGATGTGATGCTGTATTTGCCATGACAAGCTTCTACTTCACACTGATGAATAGTGATGGTTGCAGTTGATATGATGAGTCAAACACCCATGGTCTGAATGGCTGCAGGATATAACCACAGTCCAACACGAACCTTACACTAAGTTACAGTCTCCATTAACAATATTACTTGATAACTTGCTACAGTCTCAGGTAGCAATGTTACATGATTATTATGCATTAACCTGGTACTTCCTCAGGTCACAGTATTGCACAATAACTTGCTATGCACTTCACATAACAATATTACTCGATAACCTGCTACAGTCTTCAGGTAACAGTATTACACTATAACCTGCTACAGTCTTCAGGTAACAGTATTACACTATAACCTGCTACAGCCTTCGGGTAACAGTATTACACGATAACCTGCTACAGTCTTCAGGTAACAGTATTACACGGTAACCTGCTACAGTCTTCAGGTAACAGTATTACACTATTACCTGCTACAGTCTTCAGGTAACAGTATTACACGATAACCTGCTACAGCCTTCGGGTAACAGTATTACACGATAACCTGCTACAGTCTTCAGGTAACAGTGTGACACGATAACCTGCTACAGTCTTCAGATAACAGTATTACACTATTACCTGCTACAGTCTTCAGGTAACAGTATTACACGATAACCTGCTACAGCCTTCGGGTAACAGTATTACACGATAACCTGCTACAGTCTTCAGGTAACAGTTTTACACGATAACCTGCTACAGTCTTCAGGTAACAGCATTACACGATATTCTGCTACAGTCTTCACATAACAATATTACACGATAACCTGCTACAGTCTTCAGGTAACGGTATTACACGATAACCTGCTACAGCCTTCAGGTAACAGTATTACATGATAACCTGCTACAGTCTTCAGGTAACAGTATTACACAATAACCTGCTACAGCCTTCGGGTAACAGTATTACACGATATTCTGCTACAGTCTTCACATAACAATATTACACGATAACTTGCTACAGGCTTCAGGTAACAATATTACACAATAACTTGCTACAGCCTTCACATAACAATATTACATGATAACTTGCTACAGGCTTCACATAACAATATTACATGATAACTTGCTACAGGCTTCACATAACAATATTACACAATAACCTGCTACAGTCTTCACATAACAATATTACACGATAACTTGCTACAGGCTTCAGGTAACAATATTACACAATAACTTGCTACAGTCTTCACATAACAATATTACACGATAACCTGCTACAGTCTTCAGGTAACAGTATTACACGATAAACTGCTACAGCCTTCAGGTAACAGTATTACACGATAACCTGCTACAGTCTTCAGGTAACAGTATTACACAATAACCTGCTACAGCCTTTAGGTAACAGTATTACACGATATTCTGCTACAGTCTTCACATAACAATATTACATGATAACTTGCTACAGGCTTCCCGTAACAATATTAAACAATAACTTGCTACAGGCTTCACATAACAATATTACATGATAACTTGCTACTTGCTTCACATAACAATATTACACAATATCTTGCTACAGTCTTCAGGTAACAATATTACAAGATAACTTGCTACGTGCTTCACATAACAATATTACAAGATAACTTGCTACAGGCTTCAGGTAACAATATTACATGTTAACTTGCTACGTGCTTCACATAACAATATTACACAATAACTTGCTACAGGCTTCAGGTAACAGTGTGACATGATAACTTACTACAGTCTTCAGGTAACAGTATAACACGTTAACTTGCTACGTGCTTCACATAACAATATTACACAATAACTTGCTACAGTCTTCAGGTAACAGTGTGACATGATAACTTGCTACAGTCTTCAGGTAACAGTATTACACAATAACTTACTACATGCTTCACATAACAATATTACATGATAACTTGCTACAGGCTTCAGGTAACAATATTACACGTTAACTTGCTACAGTCTTCAGGTAACAATATTACATGTTAACTTGCTACGTGCTTCACATAACAATATTACAAGATAACTTGCTACAGGCTTCAGGTAACAATATTCCACGTTAACTTGCTACAGGCTTCAGGTAACAATATTACATGTTAACTTGCTATGTGCTTCACATAACAATATTACACAATAACTTGCTACAGGCTTCAGGTAACAATATTACAAGATAACTTGCTTTGTGCTTCACATAACAATATTACACGATAACTTGCTACAGGCTTCAGGTAACAGTGTGACATGATAACTTACTACAGTCTTCAGGTAACAGTATAACACGTTAACTTGCTTTGTGCTTCACATAACAATATTACACGATAACTTGCTACAGTCTTCAGGTAACAGTATTACACAATAACTTGCTACGTGCTTCACATAACAATATTACACGATAACTTGCTACAGTCTTCAGGTAACAATATTACACAATAACCTGCTACAGTCTTCAGATAACAGTGTGACATGATAACCTGCTACAGTCTTCAGGTAACAGTGTGACATGATAACCTGCTGTGATAGACTACTATGTAGCTATGTTCCAAAGAATAAACTCAGTTTCCTTCTATTTCAGGTTTTGTTTGAGCAGTTCAAGTTTTTCCTCAACCTGTACTTTTTGATAATGGCATGTGCACAGTTCATCCCAGCCATTAGAATCGGCTACCTCTACACATACTGGGGCCCACTGGTGAGAGGCCATTGCTACTCTCATTGCATGGATAGTCTTTACTTCAAATATATAAGGATGAAATTAAATGAACAATCGGTTTGACAGACCTTTTCCATCACTAACATTGAGTTGACTGTAATGTTTGAAGTTTTGAGTAACGGGCTGTCATGGTACCCCTGTTGCTTGTAGTTCATGCTGTCATCCACTGCTTTGCCTGTGTCTGTGATATAACTGTAATGTTGTTGATCATGATGGTTGTGCTGCTTTTCCGTGACTCGTGTACTATGACATGTTAGGTACCTACATACATTTGAAATTGTTTTTCTAACTTTTCCAGGGTTTTGTAATATTTGTAACAATGTGTCGTGAAGCTCTGGATGATTGGCGCCGCGTTATCGACGAGATAAGGAGGCCAACTCCCAGATTTACAAGAAGCTGTGTCGAGATGGCATTGTCCGCATACCCAGCTCTGACATCCGTGTCGGGGATCTCATTATCGTTGAAAAGGTAACCATACGTGGACGAAGTTGGTGGGATGCTTCTCTCTCAAAGTAGACTTCCAGTCCAAATATACATCTGTTTAATGACTGCCAGTATATTTAGACGATCAGGATGCTTTTCTCTCAAAGTAGAGGCTGCTTCCAGTCTACATATACATCTGTTTAATGGCTGCCAGTATATTTAGACAATCAGGATGGACCATTGTCATATAGATGTGAAGTAAATGCAAATATCAGTTTTAGATTCTTAAAAGCTAACCTTTTTCTTGGGAGAAGAAATTTGTGGTTGTTTTCTCCTGGAATTACAAGTTGTTGAGTGAGGACAGTGCACATATCTGGAAAGAAAAGATTTATGGATGATAACTTCTTTATTGTGAATAACACGACGTTTCGGAGTGCATGTTTTCTCCTTCATCAGGTGAATGGTAGGGAGTATGAGGGGGATATATATACATATGAGGCACTAAAAAGAAAACATGTTTAACAATGTTGAGGAATGAATATGTAATACAAACATGAGGACTTAGGGGATACTGCCATACAGACGTCCATGTGCTCACAAGAGAATCTGTCCTAGAAGGATATATTCACTTCAGAAGGGTGGCGATTGGAAAGTCTTGCAAAGGGAGGAAACTCCTGTTGACAATTCTGTATTAGAAAGTGCCCTGATGTTGTGATAGATGAGCAGTAACAAACAACAGTCACTTGTAAACAATAGTAATCATGGAACAAAATGTGTCCTGTATAGGCATTTAGTTTTTCCATATGCCTGAGATTCATTGTTGATAAATTCATCTTAATATTATACCAGATTTCAATATAATCTGCTGCACATCTGTCCTGTTATCCGTGGTGTTATGGCCAGACCACTCTACACTTGCTATACATTTGTGAACAGGACCAGCGGGTGCCAGCAGACTTGGTGTTTCTGAGGACCACAGAGAAAGATGGAGCATGCTTCACCAGGACAGACCAGCTAGATGGGGAGACTGACTGGAAGTTGCGGCTTGCTGTACAGACCACACAGAGGTTGCCATCAAATGTGGTAGGTCTCGAGGTTGCCATCAGGTGTGATAGGTAGAAATGTTGCCATCAGATGTGATAACTAGAGAGGTTGCCATCAGATGCAATAGGTAGAAATGTTGCCATCAGATGTGATAATAAGAGAGGTTGCCTTCAGATGTGGTAGGTCTCGAGGTTGCCATCAGGTGTGATAGGTAGAAATGTTGCCTTCAGATGTGATAATTAGAGAGGTTGCCATCAGATGCAATAGGTAGAAATGTTGCCATCAGATGTGATAATTAGAGAGGTTGCCTTCAGATATGGTAGGTCTCGAGGTTGCCATCAGGTGTGATAGGTAGAAATGTTGCCATCAGATGTGATAATTAGAGAGGTTGCCATCAGATGCAATAGGTAGAAATGTTGCCATCAGATGTGATAATTAGAGAGGTTGCCTTCAGATGTGGTAGGTCTCGAGGTTGCCATCAGGTGTGATAGGTAGAAATGTTGCCATCAGATGTGATAATTAGAGAGGTTGCCTTCAGATATGGTAGGTCTCGAGGTTGCCATCAGATGTGATAGGTAGAAATGTTGCCATCAGATGTGATAATTAGAGAGGTTGCCATCAGATGTAATAGGTCTCGAGGTTGCCATCAGGTGTGATAGGTAGAAATGTTGCCATCAGATGGAATAATTAGAGAGGTTGCCATCAGATGTGGTAGGTCTCGAGGTTGCCATCAGATGTGATAATTAGAGAGGTTGTCTTCAGATGTGATAGGTAGAAATGTTGCCATCAGATGTGATAATTAGAGAGGTTGCCATCAGATGCAATAGGTAGAAATGTTGCCATCAGATGTGATAATTAGAGGTTGCCTTCAGATGTGGTATGTCTCGAGGTTGCCATCAGGTGTGATAGGTAGAAATGTTGCCATCAGATGTGATAATTAGAGAGGTTGCCTTCAGATGTGGTATGTCTCGAGGTTGCCATCAGGTGTGATAGGTAGAAATGTTGCCATCAGATGTGATAATTAGAGAGGTTGCCATCAGATGTAATAGGTAAAAATGTTGCCATCAGTTGTGATAATTAGAGAGGTTGCCTTCAGATGTGGTATGTCTCGAGGTTGCCATCAGGTGTGATAGGTAGAAATGTTGCCATCAGATGTGATGATTAGAGAGGTTGCCATCAGATATGGTAGTTTGAGAGATATCCGTCAAAGAGAGAATGCCCTTCAAACATGATAGGTACTAACATTGCCTTCATACATATTTACTGAAGCTGACATGAAACACGGTAGGTACAGATGCTCCTGTTTAACGTATTTACTGAGGTGCCTTACCCAGTCAGATTTAGCCTGGACTTCCCCTCAACACTCAGTGAGGACAGACAATGGTTTCCTGTTGCAGGACATACTTGACATCTGTGCCCAGGTCCATGCAGAGAAGCCACAGAAACAGATTCACAATTTTGTGGGGACATTTACAAGAGTGAGTCAGTTTCCAATGGTGTGATTTCTTCCATAGAAAGTAGTAGGAATAATGTGTTGATGACTGATGACAAGGTATCAACAGATTGGTGAAAACCCTAAACTGAGAATGTGATTGTAATTGATGTAATCATTGTCTTCTGTCTCTCAACCAAAGCAAGGCCATTACTTTAATACCAGTCAATGATAAAGAGATGATATATCAAAATATGTCCTTATTTTGTCCTGTTGCTGAAACTGCTGAATATGAGCTGTGCACTTATCTCCCCAGACTGACGGCACAGCTTGTGAGGACCCGCTTGGCCTTGAGAACACATTGTGGGCTGACACAGTGGTGGCCTCAGGAACAGCACTCGGAGTGGTGATATACACTGGGGCAGAAACCAGGAGCGTCATGAACACCTCACAACCCAGCAGCAAGGTCAGACATACGATGTAATAACCTTCATCTAAATCTGTTTACATGAGGATGGTATTCATTGCGGTAATGTGATTGGCTGCCTTAGGTCACATGCTTGAATTTGACGTATCTGTAGCAGATTACAGCAAAAATAGGTGTCACTAGAAACAACTTTTTTGATAACTTCTTGTTTATTGCTTTGTAAGAAACACTCCACTGAAACATCTTCAATGCAATAAACAAGAAGTGGCAAGCCTGTCTATACCTTGTCTGTAACTTCTTTGTAACCCTAAACCCCCTTTGTACCCCATTTGTACCACACCTGTACCCTGTGTGCCACCAGGTGGGGCTACTGGACCTGGAGATCAACACGCTGACCAAGTTGCTGTTCTTTGCTGTCATCGTCCTGTCTGTGGTCATGATGATACTGAAGGTAATGTTCACTGATGGATGTTGGATCACAGCACAAACATTTGAGAGTTGGGCTAAATATATTTCTTTCATTTTTTATAATATGGCAATATATTTAACAAGAGCATATATGACTGTGTGTAAGATCTCATATGTCAGAATGTCAGCATCAGTTTGATGTTGGGGTAATTGATAATGGGCATCACTGTCAAGTTGTGATGATGTATGTTACCTGCCTGTTACAGGGATTTGGAGGTCCTTGGTACCGCTACCTGTTTCGGTTTATCTGCCTGTTTTCCTACATCATCCCAATCAGGTAAAGATATCCATATGTCCATGAAATACAGTCACAATCAGGTAAATACATCTGATAATACAGAAACAATCAGGTAAATACAGAAACAATCAGGTAAATACATCAGTTAAATACAGAAACAATCAGGTAAATACATCAGTTAAATACATACACAGTCAGGTAAATACAGAAACAATCAGGTAAATACAGAAACAATCAGGTAAATACATCAGTTAAATACATACACAGTCAGGTAAATACAGAAACAATCAGGTAAATACATCTACAGAAACAATCAGGTAAATACAGAAACAATCAGGTAAATACACAGAAACAATCAGGTAAATACACAATCAGGTAAATACAGAAACAATCAGGTAAATACATCAGTTAAATACACATAGTCAGGTAAATACAGAAACAATCAGGGTAAATACATCTGATGATACAGAAACAATCAGGTAAATACAGTTAAATACATACACAGTCAGGTAAATACACAAACAATCAGGTTAATAAATCTGATAATACATACACAGTCAGGTAAATACATAAACAATCAGGTAAATACATCAGTTAAATACATGCACGGTCAGGTAAATACATAAACAATCAGGTAAATATATCAGTGAAATACATGCACCGTCAGGTAAATACAGAAACAATCAGGTAAAGGTAAACAGAAACAATCAGGTAAATACAGAAACAATCAGGTAAATACATCTGATGATACAGAAACAATCAGGTAAATACAGAAACAATCAGGTAAATATATCAGTGAAATGCATGCACCGTCAGGTAAATACAGAAACAATCAGGTAAATACAGAAACAATCGGGTAAATACATCAGTTAAATACATACACAGTCAGGTAAATATAGAAACAATCAGGTAAATACATCAGTTAAATACATACACAGTCAGGTAAATACAGAAACAATCAGGTAAATACATCAGTTAAATACATACACAGTCAGGTAAATACAGAAACAATCATCAGTTAAATACATACACAGTCAGGTAAATACAGAAACAATCAGGTAAATCCATCAGTTAAATACATACACAGTCAGGTAAATACAGAAACAATCAGGTAAATACATCAGTTAAATACATACACAGTCAGGTAAACAGAAACATAGAAACAATCAGGTAAATACATCTGTTAAATACCGACATTATCAGGTAAATCTATATGTGAAACACATGCAAAACTCAAGTAAATATGTCAGTTAGATACAGACTTGGTCAGGTAAATACAAATGAAATCACGTAAATACATCCATTAGAAACAGGTAATACTTTGTTTAGATACAGTCAACTCAGTTAATGTGTCAGTTAAATACCAACACAGATCAGGTAAAAGCATCAGTTCAATGCAAACACAAGTTAGAGTAATATTCCAGGTAAATAAAGACACAACTTACGGTAATGCATCAGCTAACCAGACACAACTCAGGTAAATATGTTGGTTATGTACAGGCACATGGTAAATACATCAGTGAGATTCTGCCACAAGTTGCTATGGCTGTTATGTGCAATGTAGAAGGTAATGGCTGATCTTTGTCTCCCCTAGTCTGAGAGTGAACCTGGACATGGGTAAGGCAGTGTACTCCTGGATGATCCAGAGAGACAAAGCCATCCCCGGCACTGTGGTGCGCAGCTCAACCATCCCTGAGGAGATGGGCAGAATCACTTACCTGTTGTCGGACAAGACTGGAACACTCACACAGAATGAAATGGTAGGACCATACTCTATAGTGTACTGTCTCCATATCATCAAATGTAATGATGTTAGTGTGAGGTGTCAGTAATGGGGAGGACATCAGGAGCGTCAATAGATGGGTAGGGCTGGGGTGTAGATGGTGGGATAGGGGATGGGTGTAGATGGTAGGATGGGGTGTAGATTGTGGGGTAGGGGTGATGTGTAGATGGTGGGATGGGGTGTAGATGATGGGATGGGGTGTAGATTGTGGGGTAGGGGATGATGTGTAGATGGTGGGGATGGTGGGGAGGAATTGGGGTGTAGATGGTGGGATGGGGGGTGTAGATGGTAGGACCATACAGCTACAGTGTACTGTCTCCATATCATCAAATGTAATCATGTTAGTGTGAGGTGTCAGTAATGGGATGGGGTGTAGGGGCGATGTGTCAGGGCGTCGATAGATGGGTAATGGCTGGGGTGTAGATAGTAGGGTAGGGGTGATGTGTAGATGGTAGGATGGGGTGTAGATGGGGTGTGGGGTAGATGTTAGGGTGATGTGTAGATGGTGGGATGGGGTGTAGATGGTAGGACCATACACTACAGTGTACTGTCTCCATATCATCAAATGTAATCATGTTAGTGTGAGGTGTCAGTAATGGGGAGGACGTCAGGAGCGTCGATAGATGGGTAGGGCTGGGGTGTAGATGGTGGGATAGGGGATGGGTGTAGATGGTTGGATAGGGGATGGGTGTAGATGTGGGGTGTAGATGGTTAGGTAGGGATGGGATGTATATGTGGGGTAGGGGTGTGGTGTGGATGGATGAATGGATATGGAGAGGTTGGGGTGTAGATTGAAGGGACAGAGCAATGTGTTAATGCAAGGATGGGGTGAAGGTGTAGATGGCGAACATTTTGGGTCAAAGCAGATGGTTTGGTGTCAGGAACACTATGGTTTTGATGCGGCTGCATCTCCATGCTGATGTCACCTCAACTGTCATTGCTTTCAGGTGTTCAAGAGGCTGCACCTGGGCACTGTGTCATTCAATGCTGAGACCATGGATGAGGTGAGACAGCACAGTATATATATGCACAAGTTTTTCACTTTGGAAACTAATCATGTTTTTATGCAGTGAAATCTCATTAGCATGTATCCGTTTAGCCCAAGGTCATTAGAGGTCATAGTATGATATATTCAAATTTCATAATGGGCATAGTACTGCTCCAGCATCTGTATGGTTAAGGGAGGATGACTTCATACATGTGATTTGGCTGGGAACCTAGAGACTTCAGAATAGATCATGTCATGTTGGGAGTTTTCTCCACTTGCAGGTAATGGCTCATTTGAGGACAGCCTTTTCTCAGCCCCCATCTGGTCAGCTTATCCAGGCAACACCCACTCGTACATCAGGCCCAGTTCGAAGGACAGTGGTCACTCGGGTGTTTGAGGCTGTGAAAGCGGTGGCACTCTGTCACAATGTGACTCCAGTGTATGAGGAGAACGGTGACGAGCCAGTGATACCGAGGCCGACCAGCAGATCCGCCAGACTGTCACATACCAAGCCTCCAGCCCTGATGAGGTGAGGCCGCCATAGGGATGCTGGGATATTCAGGCATATATCGGGGAGGTGAACTCATGACAGACTCAGCAGTTCACTGGTGGGAGTAGGGTTGAAACAGTTACTGCGTACGAGAAACGAGTTCGAGGCATGTAGGAGCATTACTCGAGTAGTAAAATACTACTTGAGCACTCGTCCAAGAAGAATTTTCTCCCCTCTCACTCCACGTGTAGTCGTGTCGCCCCCGACATTGCAGAGCAATCACGCTCCAAAGTTTGCAGTTGTATTTAACTTGTGTCATTTATTCATACCAGTAGATCATGCAAATACTGATCAGAACACAGTACATGGTGTTGATTACGTAAGCGCAGGTCCATTGTTTATTTCTTATTTAATGGGCTTCAAATATAACATAGATGTTTCAGAACTTCTAATTTTCTAAAATTTCTGCGCTAACCCCCATAGCGAACTCTGCTCACCTGCTTCAGTCTTGAGGAGGAGTACTCAAGTACTCGCAAGTAGGTGAAGGCATGTCTTCCAGTAGTTTCAATTACTAGCTGTTTCAACCCTAGGTGGGAGTTTCGCTCGTCATGCCGAAGGCCCGGGTTTGATTCCCCACATGGCTACAATGCGTGAAGCCCATTTCTGGTGTTCCCCCGCCATGATATTGCAGGAATATTGCTAAAAGCTGCGTTAAACCCAACTCACTTGTTCACTAGGTGGGAGTTGTGTACCTTAGTTGTGATAGGATGCTACTGACTGGGGGCTGAGTTTTAAGATTGTATTGATTATGCTACTTGGTTTGACAGTACCATTTACATTTATTGTGGGTTTCACTAAATTACTAGCGTGTTCGCTTGTCATGTCAAAGACCCAGGTTCAATTCCCCACATGGGTACAATGTGTGAAGCCCATTTCTGGTGTCCCCTGACGATATTGCTGGAATATTGCTAAAAGTGGCATAAAACTAAACTCACTCAGGCACTCACTAAAGTGATAACTGACTACTTCTTGCTTCATGGTGGGCTTGCATAATCGCTTGTAGTTTCAGATTTCTGAATCGAAACTGTAACTGTCAGTAAACATATGTGAGATTTAGATTTCCAAGTATCCATTAAATGTTTTGGTGTTGGATCTGACCATGTATAAACTGAAAACATTCACAACTGGAATTCCATGTATACAGTGTATTTGACGTTTGCAGGTAGCACTGGTGTCGTGGACGGAGAGTGTTAAACTTACGCTGGTAAAGCGTGACCTGAGTTCACTGCAGCTTCGCACACCCCAGGATGCCATAGTCACATACTCCATCCTACAGATCTTCCCCTTCACCTCCGAGACCAAGAGGATGGGCATCATTGTCAGGGTGGGCGCATCGCATACTTCTAATTATGTATGTAAAGTAGAAACCATACTAATTACAGGAAACTGATCCTCAGATGTTTGATACTGGTGATTCTGAATGGCCTGGTGGCATTCTTTGTGAAGAAGTTTTGTGGTCATCCCATTGATGTTTTATCAAATATGGATCTGGAGCAGTGGGGTAACCTAGTGGTTAAAGTGTTCGCTTGTCACGCCGTAGACCCGGGTTCGTTTTCCACACATGGGTACAATGTGTGAACCCATTTCAGGTGTCCCCCGCCGTGATATTGCTGGAATATTGCTAAGAGAGGTGTAAAACCATACTCACTCACAAATATGGATCTTGACATACATTGTGTCCTTGATTTGGATTCTGTTAAAAATTGATTACTCAAGTATTGGGGTACATCAGATGACATTAATTTTTAGAAAGAATTAGCAAAGAGTGTGACCTGTTTTTTTAATTCAGAACGAGTACAGTTCTTGCTTCATATCTAACACTGTATTGTTAATGATTTTACCATTAGCCTATGGTTCATGAAACATTTGTCATATTGGTTATACATTGACTATAAATATGTTGTGCAAGAACTCCCAAACACAGCAGATAGAGTTGTCGTCACTACACACACCAGGAGACATCCCTAACCTAGACATATTGTGCAAACTGACTCTGTGTTTCAGGAAGAGCAGTCAGGGGAGATAATCTTCTACCTGAAGGGTGCTGATGTGGTGATGCAGAACATCGTCCAGTACAATGACTGGCTGGAGGAGGAGGTAGGCACTCACGTCCACACACCGTCATGTCCACACACCATCACATCCACATCCACACACCATCACATCCACACAAAATCACGTCCACACACTTTCATGTCCACACACCCTCACGTTCACACATCACGTCCACACAACATCACTTCCACATACCATCACGTCCACACACCATCACGTCCACACACCCTCACATCCACACAATTTCACATCCACACACCCTCACGTCCACACAGTCTCGTCCACACACCATCACGTCCACACACCCTCACATCCACACAATTTCACATCCACACACCCTCACGTCCACACAGTCTCGTCCACACACCATCACATCAACACACTATCAGGTCCACACCATCACATCCACACACCATCACGCCCACACACCCTCACATCCACACACCCTCACGCCCACACACCCTCACGCCCACACAGTCTCTCGCCCACACACCATCACATCAACACACCCTCACGCCCACACAGTCTCGCCCACACACCATCACATCCACACACCCTCACGTCCACACACCATCATGCCACACACCATCACATCCACACGTCCACACACTGTCACATCCACACACCATCATGTCCACACACCCTCACGTCCACACACCATCACGTCCACACACCATCACGTCCACACACCATCACATCCATACACCCTCACGTCCACACACCCTCACGTCCACACACCATCACGTCCACACACCCTCACGTCCACACACCACATCCACACACAGTCTCGTCCACACACCATCACATCCACACACTGTCATATCCACACACTCTCATGTCCACACACCATCACGTCCACACACCATCACCTCCACACACCATCACGCCCACACACCATCACCATCACATCCACACACCATCACGTCCACACACCATCACCTCCACACACCATCACGTCCACACACCATCACCTCCACACACCATCACGTCCACACCCCATCACGTCCACACCCCATCACGTCCACACATCACATCCACACACCATCACGTCCACACACCTTCACGTTTGCACACCTTCACGTTCACACACCCTCACATCCATGCACCCTCACGTCCATGCACCATGCAGTCAGGGGAGATAATCTTCTACCTGAAGGGTGCTGATGTGGTGATGCAGAACATCGTCCAGTACAATGACTGGCTGGAGGAGGAGGTAGGCACTCACGTCCACACACCATCACATCCACACACCATCACATCCACACAAAATCACGTCCACACACTTTCATGTCCACACACCCTCACGTTCACACATCACGTCCACACAACATCACGTCCACACACCATCACATCCACACAATTTCACGTCCACACACTTTCACATCCACACACCCTCACGTCCACACACCATCACATCCACACACCATCATGTCCACACCATCACATCCGCACACCATCACGTCCACACACCATCACGTCCACACACCATCATGCCACACACCATCACATCCACACAACAACACACCATCATGTCCACACACTGCCACATCCACACACCGTCATGTCCACACACACACTCACGTCCACACACCATCACGTCAACACACCTTCATATCCACACACTCTCATGTCCACACACCATCACGTCCACACACCATCACGTCAACACACCTTCATATCCACACACTCTCATGTCCACACACCATCGCATCCACACAACCACACACCATCATGTCCACACACTGCCACATCCACACACCGTCATGTCCACACACACACATGTCCACACACCATCACGTCCACACACCATCACGTCAACACACCTTCATATCCACACACTCTCATGTCCACACACCATCGCATCCACACACCATGTCCACACACCCTTACCTCCACACACCCTCACCTCCACACATCATGTCCACACACCCTCACCTCCACACACCCTCACCTCCACACACCCTCACATCCACACACCATCATGTCCACACACCATCACCTCCACACACCATCACGTCACCACATCATCACATCCACACACCATCATGTCCACACACCCTCACGTCCACACACTCTCACGTCCACACACCATCACCTTCACACACCATCACGTCCACACACCTTCACGTTCACACACCTTCACGCTCACACACCTTCACGTCCATGCACCATCACCTCCACACACCATCACATCCACACAGCCTCACGTCCACACACCTTCACGTTCACACACCCTCACGTCCACACACCATCACATCCACACAACCCCACATCCATATACCGTTACGTCCACACACCAAAGTCTTGTCATGTGCCTTGGTTATAACACTTAGCCACTTTGTCACAAAACATGATCCAGTAACAAGGTGAATTAGGCCCTTTTAAGGCCAGATACGGCACCTTAAATTGACATTTTTGCTTCAATGTGTCAAAATCAAGGTTTTGATTTTTTGATATGTTTAAACCATGTTTTGTTTGTGTGTGTGCAACCTGTATCAAACACATGATAATGGGCTCAAATCCCAGTCTTCCCCAATTCAATATACATTATAGGTGTAGTTATGCCAAACACACTCACTCACTCAGGAAATAGGCTTACAGTTACAAGGCTTTACCATGACTCACAAACATGGGGGTCCTGAGCACCCCCAATTATTAGTTTTAAGGGTCCTGGACTACATTATAAGTATCCTGTGAAGTAACAGTGTAGAGAAATGTACGTTTTGATTATTTCTTTAGAGCCTGGAATGAATCATTGATCATGTGGACTAATGGATGAAAAGATCCACACAACAGCTCTGAAAGAAACAACCAAGCACTTACCAAAGTTTTAGATGTGTTGTCGGTACAATTAATTATGATATGGGTCCCTCAGGACACAGGGAATTGTTTTCTGTGTCCATTCTCCACATTTGTGCATAATAGACGCACATTTACGCGTCGTGTAAAACCCTGAGTTAAATGATATAGGCCAACACTATCTGGCAGTATCTGGATGTTGATTGACAGGCTGTTAGATATGCCCTACAGTGCCTGTGTTTTTGTTTCAGTGTGGGAACATGGCGAGGGAAGGATTGAGAACACTGGTTGTGGCCAAGAAGGTCCTCACTGAGGAACAGTACCAGGACTTTGAGGTGATTTGTCTGGGATGTTTACTCTGTAGTCTGTTGTACATCTTGTTGAAATGATGAGGTTATCTTCACCCATTGCTGTCTCCTTAGTAATCAGATTACAGTCATACACATTGTTACTGTTACAAGAACAATAGCTGGATTTTCCAGTTTCTCATGAGTTCATGCTGTGTGTCAGTACAGATTATCTGTTATTCCTTGATGCTGGTTTCTGCTGTGTATTTGTATGTAAGTTATAGTGAAAAAATGACCCCGAGGTTTTCATTAGGTTACAAAGCTCGACATGATAAGTGGCACTGTAAGTTAGATTCATATGATGGAATTTTCATGTGATAGAAACTTTGGCTTTAAACCAGTAAAGAATTCGTGCTAACTGCATATTAAAAAGTTCATGATATGATTCAACTGTAAAACCACAAAATAGTTCTTTCAGTTAAAAATGTAAAACCTATCAGTACATGTCTCACTTGAAAGTAGAACCTCTCACAAGGTAGTGTTGGTCTGTGAGGAAATAACAGTGGCGTGAGGTATATGATGGCGGATACAAGGAGAGGATGTTACTGATGTTGGTCGTGCTTCACTCCTCACTCTCCCTGCTCACAGAGTCGGATCCACCAAGCCAGAATGTCCCTCCAGGACCGGAACAGCAAGGTACAGGCTGTCATCGAGAGTCTGGAGCGAGACCTTGACCTGTTGTGTCTGACCGGTGTGGAGGACAAGCTTCAGGACAATGTTAGACCAACACTAGAGCTCCTGAGGAATGCTGGCATCAAGGTGAGTACCAGACTTCACAACACATGTGGCTCCTCTTCCTCTTTCCCCTGTGGGCATTCCTGATGAGAGGTGGTCCCAAGCAACCCATGCTGGTCAAATAGGAAACTGAATGGATCTCCATGGATAGTTACTCAAAATATCAGTCACTACATCATCTTGTCCAAGCTCATGTATTATCTGCCATTAGCTTGAATATTACTTTATGCAGGATCAAACAACAGCAAGAAACAAGCAAACAAACCACTTATTTGTTACCAGAACTTATAGTACCGGTAGATATATTTTTCCTTATCCTGACTCATACTCTTTTGCTTGTCTCCTTCTTCTTGCGAACACAGTGGAACACTTGTATCTCCCAATTGAAGTTCCCTTCAATGTAAAATCACTAATTAGTACTCCCGAGTTATCTGTCCCCCCAAAGCGCGGGAACGAGGGCGCCACCTCCTGCCATGTACCTCACTCTCTCCTTGTTCGCCCAGTGAGCAGGACGTGAGAGCGCCTGTGTCTCCCTACACACTATATCCTTTAATTATATTTATTTTGTTACCTCTTATATTCATCTATAGAGGTGTAACTAGTATCCTTATTCAACATGCATTGATATTTATTCGTGTTTCTGCAGCTTTATTCACGGTTCGCCGTATTTGCTCAGCAGATTGCGTTTATAAAAAATCTGCACTGTTTGTAAATTACGTTTCTCTGCTGCCGATCCATTTAATATGCCCTAGTTGTATAACGCCATGCTCTATTGTTTCACGCTGCAATTTATGTATTAAATTGTCTAATTCTGCCTTTGATAAATATTTATATTACGTCTTGAGGCGTGCAGCAGATAGATCTCGAAACAATCTTCAGTCATGGCTGATAGATCAGAGTCAGATATACCCTGTCAACTGTTGGCGGGGCTGACCCTCTACCGTCTGGTGTTCGCCTGAGTTACCTTCGAGCGTGGGGCGCAGTCCGCTATATCCAAGAAGCGACCTGCATCCCAGGACATTCCATCATCACAGTGTAAGACTAGGAGAGCTTCCCGCGTCGTCATTACAATGCGCTCCGCGCACCCCAGGGCTACAGCAGCCGTCGAAGGGAAACCCACGAAGGCTAATAAAAACTTTTCATCAGAATTGTGTTTATATGATGATGACATTCCGATTATCATTCCAGATGTACGGCATAAGTAGCGACCAGTATCGGCTACCGTCACTTCAGCGCAGATCAACACGCAACTAGAGATGCCTACGCTGACGGCTGAGATTCTAACTGAGGGTCCCGTCACTATCACAGAGAGGGCAGCCTCAACGTCAGCGCAGACCGTCCCAGACGACCTGGTCCACCAGATTATGATGTTGATGGAAGACCGATACGGTTTACAGAGGCCTCAGAGCCGCGGGCCCCAGAGCCCAACCCATAATAAGTCATGTAGGGCCCCAGAGCCCGCTATGACTTCGCGTAGGGCCCCAGAGCCCACAAACGCGCCTCCAGGGCAACCCAGCCCGTATCGAAACCTTCGCGAAGGACGTCCCAGTCTGCCTCCACGAAGGACCTAGATCCTCACCATTCGCGGAAGGCTTCACGGAGGAGGAGTGCTTCACCGAGGTCAGACCCTGTAGAACACAGAGGTCGTTCGCGAAGCAAGCTCCTATCTAATGAGTCGGACTCAGACTCGCTACCTTCAAGAAGGCCTTCACGAAGGTTAAGTGGCTCCAAGTCATCTTCATTCAGAAGATCTATAAGGGATTCACCGAGAGCTATACGAAGCCACCATCGTTCGCCAAGGAAGCTCCACGAAGGTCTCCCTATAGAAGCCAATCGTCAGTCCGTTCAAGACATCTTCGCCGATTTACACACAAATATCCAGCGAAGCAGAGACATCGCAGTACTTGTCTATCAACTGTATGCCACATGCCGTCTACAAGCCTACGCAAAGGCATTCGCACAGGCTATTTACAACGCAGAACGTCGCTGTATTATTTTATCAACAGAACGTTATATAGTTACGGGAAGTACTATTTTACAGATGAAGAGCCTAATTAAGGATCTTCAGGCCGACTACCTACATCAAGGGCATCAACGACGTTTCGCAGATCTTCACAGGAATCACCATTTCCGTATATATTGCTAGGTATGCAATCCCGGAACACGATACGATTATCTACATGCATGACCATTACGCAGATCTGCAGACAATTCAATAACGGAATTGAGCAGCAGCCTTGTTACAGCGAGTAAAACACATAATCGTCAACGATTTCCTGAGAAGAAATATGTACAACAAGTTCAGCTTTAATTCTACAATTATGACGCTACATTGATGTATGCAGTCTACAAGCTGACAACTTGCAAGTTTTATTGAGCCTATATATAAGGAAGTCGGCATTATCTTCAAGACTGAAGTTACATTCACAACAGCCAGGAAAATAACCTACCCAGCATTAATATTACAGAGCGAGGTAATTCGCGCGGAAGAAAGATTGGCGTTTACCATTAACCCTCGAAACGCGTGGTCACCTCGTGTAACCCGAGGAAGCTTACGGACAAGACCGGCGATTGATCTTATATCAATGGCGGCACTAAATTATACAAGGTTCCTTTTCCTGCTACACGGTGACATCACAGCGGGTACACTACAGAATCAAAATGCCTTGTTCTGATTGGACGCGATGGACAACGCCTACACATGAGGTCGATCATAGTTCACAGTTCAAGACATAGGTTGCAAGTGACAACAACATATCAGTGAACGAGCAAAGCCTCCTTACAGTCCAGTTAATCTGAACCTTCATGATTGGGCTGCCTTCATGAGGTTAGAGACCTCCCCTGTCAAGTAAGGACGAGGGCACGGCAGTCAGGCGATTTTTTACATAAAGTTCAACGATGGCAGTCACTCCTGGTTGTGCACCTACATCGTCAAGGACTTCGCAGCGAGTTTACCTCGACGACGGGATACAAGTGGATCCAGATCCACAGCGTCTCAGACTACAGTTGAATTTCATCATCAAGCTACTAACACAACTAGGATGGTTAGTAAATCTACTTAAGTTGGACCTAGAACCTACGCAAGATCTGCAATTTCTAGGTATTTGATTTGTAACGGCGCAGAATCGTATAATTGTACCGGAGGACCATGGATCAAGATCCAACAGTCAATCCCACAAGCCTTACTCTCTCCGCTACCACTATGACAGTGGCAGAGCCTGTTGGGGTTACTCACTTCAGCTCAAGACATGACAGTCAGAGGCAGACTACAATTACATCCGTTACAAGTCATCATCAATTCGCATCTCGACGACTCTCTACCGTTCAGTTTACCGGATCAGGTCAAACCTCATCTACTATGGTGGACCAAGAGATCGAATGTTTGTGTAGACGTCTCGTTAATAGAGCCAGAATCGATAACACATCTCTACGTAGATGTGTCACTACAAGGTTGGGGAGCCCATCTCGCCAACAGGACGGCATCAGGGCTATGGAGCAATCAAGAGAGCAAATTACACATAAATCTGCTAGAGATGCAAGCAGTGATAAACGCCATAATGCACTGGAGCAACTTACTACAGAATGCTCAGTTGATGATTCACACAGACAATTCGACAGTGGCGTTTTATGTGAACAAACTAAGCTCAACCAGGTCCCCGAACCTATTGACTCTATGTTTTCAATTTTTCGATTTAATCGACAATCTCAACATACATGTCAGAGCATGTCACATTCCAGGAGCAAAGAATGTAATAGCAGGCGGCTCTCTCGGCCACACACCTACCATCGCCCGACAGAATGGATGCTCCATACAGAGATATTCACTCAAATTATCAAGGAAATAGGAACTCCACTAATAGACCTATTTGCCACTTTCGATTCAACAAACAACTGACAACATTTCAGTATCGCCAGTTCCAGACCCACTAGCATGGGCAACGGACGCACTAAGCATATCGTGGGAAGGACTCAGCGCAATGCGCTTTTCCGCCACCAGCGTTAATCCCACAAGTCTTACTCAAAATCAGTCAAGCGCCAGAGCCTCCATCTGAATTTGGTGCGGCCTACTGACCAGCGAGCAGAGCGTGGTTTCCAACTCTTATTCAAGGAATTGGACAACCAATACTACATCTTCCAGAGTGCCTGAATCTGTTAATACATCCGCACACCAAACAAGTGCACGGAAAGCCAGAAATATTCCAACTCCACGTATGGATTGTATCAAGGCATGTCTGAATAAGAGGTTATTCAGCCAGAAGCGGAAAAAGCAGTCACGCTTGCCCTCGTAACTCAACTTCGCAACTTATCACGATGACAAATGGCACAGTTTTGTCAATCATGCTGCAAAGAAAGGATTTACAGCTAGATATGCTACTCATCCTCAAGTGGCTGACTACTTATGTTATCTCGATCCAGACTAAGAATCTAAAAGGCTCAACTTTGTCCACCTATCTTGCAGCAATAAGCTCTGTCATAACTATGAGAGCGAAGGCGTCAAGTTAACCAAACCCCAGAGTTACTTTCGCCTTGCACTGAGCATTCCGATTGGAGGATTAAAAACGGAAGTTTCACGCTCCTGCTTGGGATCTGAATATAGTGCTCCAACACCTCACAAGTAAGGCTTATGAACCGTTAGAATCTACATCATTGAATTTCTGACTCAGATAACCTCGTTCCTGTTATCTCTAGCTACGGCTGCCAGGATGTCAGAGATTCACGCATTGGATTACGAGAGAACACACTTTGATGATATACTTGGACCTCATGATACGATGGATCTATCTCTATGGCCAGTAAGAGCACTGAAAATATATCTCCACCGATCCAAACAGAGGAGGGAAAAATTCAAGAGATTATTTTTCCTCTATCAACAGCTACGCAGACTGAAGTCTCACGTACTACTATCTCCATTTGGATCAGAACTGTCATACTACGTGCCTACAAGGCTGCAGGACTCGACCCTTCAAGAGCTTCTAATCCTCATGAAATTAGAGCGCTAGCATTTACACTTGCTCTACACAGCATCTGCTCTTTGAATACCATAATGGAGGGTTGTTTCTGGAGATCCGATATGGTGTTTGCCAACCACTATCTGAGAGATATCACCACCGAGGACGTCTCAGGTATCCACCATTTCGGTCCCATGGTCCTCGCACAACAGTTGACAGTTCCACGGAGAAGATAAGTCAATCTTACAGATTTCTACTTATCTTACAACAGTACTAAATAGCTACATGCTATATATATTTTGCTTAAGTTCTTTATTATCTTAAGCTCAGTACTATGGTTGTTATATCATACAATATATTAGCTAACAACTCTACGGAGTTTGCTATTATATATTTAGCTTAAGTTAATCATATCTTAAGCTCAGTACTATGGTTACATTATAAAAGTATATTAGCTAACAAACTCTAAGGAGTTTTTTACTATTATATATTTATCTTAAGTTTCATCATATCTTAAGCTCAGTATTATGGTTACATTATAAAATGTATTAGCTAACAAACTCTACGGAGTTTTTGCTATTATATATGTAGCTTAAGTTAATTATATCTTAAGCACAGTACTATACTCATATCATAAAATTATATTAGCTAACAAACTCTGCGGAGTTTTGCTATTATATATATAGCTTAAGTTTTATTCATATCTTAAGCTTAGTACTATGTTTACTTCATAAAAGTATATTAGCTAATAAACTCTAAGGAGTTTTTGCTATTATATATTTAGCTTAAGTTTAATCATATCTTAAGCTCAGTACTATGGTTATATCATAAAAGTATATTAGCTAACAAACTCTAAGGAGTTTATGCTATCATATTAACAAGCTTAAGTCTGTTAGTCTTAAGCATTGTAGTCATGTTGTATATACTTTTATCATAATATTTATATTGTAATAACCCATATATGGCAGCTGATAAGTTAGCAGCAGGAATTCATCAATTCAGTGCCTTTATGAAGTTCCCATAAGGGTTATTACAGTCATTACAGTACAAATCACTAATTATCTAAATCCAGTGTATTCTGTATTCCCACCTCCGTATCCGTTGGATTCTACAAGCAAAAGAGCATGAGTCAGGATAAGGAAAAATATGTAATTTTCTGAATAAAATTGATATTTTATACTTATCCTGACTCATGAGATAAGCCCTCCCATCCTCCCAACATAACACTTTGGATTTCCCTGATAATTCAAGTGTTGGGCTCGCTATATGAGGAGAGAGTGAGGCACATGGCAGGAGGTGGCGCCCTCGTTCCCGCGCTTTGGGGGGACAGATAACTCGGGAGTACTAATTAGTGATTTTACATTGAAGGGAACTTCAATTGGGAGATACAAGTGTTCCACTGTGTTCGCAAGAAGAAGGAGACAAGCAAAAGAGCATGAGTCAGGATAAGTATAAAATATCAATTTTATTCAGAAAATTACATGCTTATGCATTGTTGGGAACTTGGAGTCCTTTGGCTTCTGAATCCCTATTTGATACTATTCATGTTTAGATCTCCGTTGATGATGATGAAGAACAGGACAGCAGACAGCAGATGTGTAAGGTGAGAATTCAGTTGTTGGTCAGCTATATTGTTTGTCTGCTTGGTTTTCCAGGTGTGGATGTTGACGGGGGACAAACTCGAGACAGCTACATGCATCGCTAAAAGCTCCAAGCTGGTGTCTCGAATACAAACATTACACACTTTCAACAATGTGACAGACAGAACAGAGGCTCACTTAGAGCTCAATGCTCTCCGCAGGAAGAACGATGCTGCACTTATCATTACTGGAGACTCATTGCAGGTAGGATTATGACCTGCGCCCACTTGCACGGAACATACAATTATTGTAAATCCTAAAGATCGCAATCTTAGGCTGCGGCTACAATCACCATCCACTTGCACAAAGCGATTGTAGGCTAAGATCATTGTAAGTTACAATCGAAACCTACAGTTGGTCCAGACCAATTGTAAGGAGCTAAGATCATTGTAGTCTGTGACAAAATGGCGTTCAAGTTAGAGTCTGTTACACTCAAATAATCAGCTTTACATTTGGAGACTGCTTTTATATTGCATAAAACTGTGTGGTTCGCCTCAACACTTCAACAACACGGAGAATGCACCACCGATTTAACGTCAGAAACATTGTTATTTGCGTTAGTGAACCACATACCTATCCAGTCGATATCATAAAGTACTATTCCCACCCAGTTCAGTGTTGGAAGAAGTGTGAAACAACATACCGTTTTTGATAATCAAGGGAAGGATTGTAACGAAAGGTGTCTGCCATGGCCATGACCTTTTCCATAACTCAAGGGCAGCTAATCTTAGTTTTTTTCATGCAAGATTGGAGTGGTTTCCCTTGAAATATTATGCCATTGCCGTAGAGTCTATCATGCCCAGTGTATTTAATGTTGTGACATCGCTGAGCTCCACATACATTTTTTTTGGTCACTTTCCTGTCATTGATTTTGTCTTAGCTTATAATTAAAACAATATACAATTAGATCACGTGAAAAAACAAGTTTCTTTCTCATTCTTAAATTTAAAATTGAGTCGGACAAGAGACGAGGGTTTTTAATCTACCCTGGTATGCATATTAGATATACAATGCCGTCCGACAATTCCGCGCACCTAAGCACATCGATCACAACACGACAACTAATGTCTCTTATTGTTTGTGGTTTACGTGACTAAACATGCTGGTGTGCATCATATTTACCTAGAAATATAAGTTTTATTGATGACTATAAGATTCGAACGTTGCATTATGCCATACGGTTGACCTTACCGGCGTTCTGACGGCATTGCTTGCTGTCGGTAATTCTGCACAGCAACTGATGCGCATAACATCCAGCTGGAGATCCGAAGTATGGAAGCGTATTAGGGCCAGATTATTTTCAAAAATCACTTCATCACTATAAGGAAGAGTGTTTCATATTAAATCCAATTATGAATAATGAAGAAAAAGGTTTAAAAGTCTGAAGAAAACAAATTTTCATAAAACTGTCAATTTATCTGTCAATTACTGTTATTTACTTACCTTTAGTGATTAAAAGCCAGTCCCTTGTAGAAATGTCCTGATTTCAAGCGTAAATGTGGTAGCAGACGATATTACCTTCGATACGGAAGTACGCTATTGCAGCTGCGCAGAATTACCGGACGCGCGGAGTTACCGGACTCACTGGTAATACAAATATTCATCAAACAGGAAAATTCACTTGCTGAGGCATTTGAAATTTGTTTAAAAAGGAATTTCACTATAAGAAAAAATAATGATCAACAAAATATGGTTAAAAAGTTAACATACTGTGAATACCTATTTAACAATACACACTAAAAACACGAAATATTATTTATTATTCATGTTTCCCTGTCATGCATTTTCCACAACGCTCTCGTAGTCATGTCACCAATTGAGGCGTAAACATTCCCTCTGGATTATGGTTGCCTTTTTCTGTGGTTTCCACAGACACATACAGAATGAAGTGAAAATTTTAACACTAAGTCATAGCTATCCCTTGTGGTATGCCCTTCCAACTGACAGAGTTACCTCCCCCTGACCTAGATGTCACTGTATAGTAGTTTGAAAATCCTCACAAATTTTCTGTATGGTATACACTGTACACGTGTATAGAGTGGAGTGAAAAATTGACTTCTATCAGCTTGTTTTCTACACTGATCCATCCCTATATAGGTTAGTGTTGTCGACATTAGTCCTTTGGACATCGTGATTTTATATTATTTTTACGTTTGTACTTGATATATATATTTTCCGCCCTTTTTCCTTTGTCTAACTTTAAGCTATGGCTAAGAATAAGTCGTGCAATGTCAGAAGTTCATGTCGGATTTAGACCCCCATTCTCTCTGCATTTCTTGTTTTACTGGTAATCATTGTACCCTGCAAGATCGCTGCCTTCTGTGTTCAGAGTTATCAGAGGTTGAGTGGTTAAGTATGGATTCTGCAAGATCTCAGACTAAGAAACGTAAATGCTCCCCGTCGTCGGAGGCTAGCAAAAGTAAAAAATCCGCTTCGGGATCCCCGCCATCTTCACAGAGATCTGAATCAAAATCCAAATCTAGACATGGATGGGGCCGCCCGTTCATCCTTGGACATACTATCCTATACCAACTGGTTTGCTGCGGGAGTCCGGGCATTATTACCACCATTATTCCAAGATTATGAAGGAGTAAAGAAGGACACATTAGTATCCATGTCAGCCGAAGAAGTAGCCATGGCGCACTCATTCTTAGATGTGGTATATCAATCTATAGCCGACGCAACTCACAATCAGCTGTGTACACTTGGACGTTTAACAGCCATGGAGAGACTTCACAAGTTAGATTCAATTAGAAGTCTACCAGAGACAGCTAAAGATGTTTTATTTCAACAGCCCTTGGACTCAGAATCTTTTTCATGGACAATGTGGTCAGGCTATTCAAGTTAAGGATGCTTTTACATCACGTAATCTGAATCAGAGATTGGCTTCAGCTTTACTGTCACAAAGCAGGAATAAACCTCAGTCCAGACCGAGGAGGGATGTATCTGCTACTATTTCCCGCCAACCTTCTCACAGACGTCAGGAGCCACTGCAACGTTCAGCATTTGACAGGGCAGGAGACTCTAGGTCGCGTAATTTCTCCTCGTCAGCACCATCTTCAACTCGGGGCTACTCATCCTCTAGGGGCAGGGGTAGGGGCACCAGATTTTTTCGTGGCACCAGAGCGGGATCTAGGAAGTTTTGACTCCAATCAAATAGTCCAGTTTACTCAGCCTTACGATTTGGAAATGCCCCTCGATTTGGAAACAGAATTCGAATTTATTCTACCGGTATCCCAATCTCCCATAGGGGGTCGGCTAGCACAATATGTGCACAAATTCCAAATTCATCAGCATAGACCTGAAGGACGCTTATCTTCATGTACCAATACATCCTCGGTCTCAGAAGTACCTTTGTTTCGCGGTAAACGGACGGAGATTTCAATTCCGTGTTCTACCTTTCGGAATTTCTATAGCTCCTTGGCTGTTCACGGTGATCATCAATCCCATTTTAGCGTTCCTACATCATCGTCAGATAGCTATCCACGGTTACTTGGACGATTTCCTGGCACGGAATATAATTACTCAGACTCTTTTAAAACAGACCAAGTTTATACTCCACGTGTTCACACATCTAGGCCTTGTTGTACACCCGGTCAAGTCAGAACTAGTCCCCACATCAAAAATCAAGTATCTGGGAGCCATCCTAGATGCCAAGACGGCACGAATTTTTACACCTCAGGATCGTTGGTACAAGATCCGGACCAAGATTTTCAATCTGTTAGCAAGCAAGGCCGCATCAATTCGGACATGGATGTCCCTGCTGGGATCTCTTACGTCTATCCAAGATTTCACGATGAGGGGCAGGATTCATCTTCGCCAACCGCAAATATGGATCAATGGGTTCAGGGATCTGGACTTAGAAACTATGGTATCCCCTCCCTTCATGATTCGTCAGGAATTTTTGTGGTGGACGGTGGACAGCAACGCGTTTCCAGGAGTACATTTTCGTCTTCCTCCTCCAGACGCGTTACTCTATATGCGGACGCCTCAAACTCGGGATGGGGCTCATGTCAACGTAACATCAAGTTCAGGGGCTGTGGTCTCAACAGGAAAGCAATCTCCATATCAACTGTCTGGAGATGTTAGCTGGTAAAAGCTCTGTCTCATTGGTCTTGGAACCTGCATCAGAAGAACATTATGTTAGTGACAGACAACAGCACAGTAGTAGCCTATATAAACAAACAGGGCGGAACCAAATGTCATCGTCTACTACAGATTATGAAGGAACTTTTCAAAATAGCAGATTCCATGAAAAGTCATATAAAAGCTCGTCACATCCCGGGAAAGGTGAATATTTTGGCAGACTCTCTCTCCAGACAGGACAGAGTGATATCAACAGAATGGACTTTGAATATGGAGGCTTTCAAACTCATCAATGGAGAAATGGGAAACACCATCCATAGATCTCTTCGTGACAGCAAGGAACAATCGTCTACCTACATTTGTGAGTACTGTTCGGATCCGACAGCCTGGGCAGTGGATGCCCTGTCAATCTCATGGGAAAATCTGATAGCATATGCTTTTCCTCCGTTCAAATTGATACCGGAAGTACTAGCCAAGATCGCCCAACACAACTGTGTAGTTTATCTGGTAGCTCCAGCATGGTCGACCAGAACATGGTTCACGGACCTTCTTCAATTATTGACGGACAAACCCTTACGACTGCCTTGTTGGGAAAATCTTCTCAGTCAGCCCAAGTCGGACAGATACCACAAAAATGTAAACCTACTAGCTCTTCGCATTATGGAGACTATCTATAGTTCCCTCAAGGAGCAGGGATTTAATGAACAAGCAATTTCGGCTATCTCCGAGTCTATCAGACCTTCAACGGCAGCACTGTATGACACCAAGTGGAATGTCTTCATACAGTGGAGAAGAGAGCAACGACTACTCAATATTCCAGTCACCATACCTATCATAGCAGATTTTCTTATATATCTCAGGATGGTTAAAAATTAAAACACAATACTATTGAAGGCTATAGATCAGCGATTGCTTCAGTCATGGACTTACAGGGACTATCTGTAGGATCTGATCATTCTTTACACAGGATTATTAGATCTTTCCAGATCAAGGATGTGTCATCGCGTCATTATTTCCTAAGTGGGATCTATGTTTGGTACTACAGGCTCTACAGAAGTCTCCGTTTGAACCTATGCAAGACACTTCCTTAAAATACTTGAGTTTTAAAACTGCTTTTC